ACTTGGTTCTGGATTTGTTTTAATGACCAGGGTTTGCAAGCTTTTGCCACGAATCTTGTTGCCTCTCTTTAGTGACGACTTTTAGTGACCATTTTGATTTCGACACAAATGTTTTTTTAGCTTTAGTCACAAACTGTGCAAGGATTTTAACCCTTGCAAGTAGCGTATCTTCAGCAATTTTACATAAAGTTACAAAGGCCCGTAGCAAGGGTCGAAACCCTTGCTAGATGTAGGAACGAATTATGCAAGGGTTATAACCGCTGGTATGAGCAACACATGCTTGAATTTTCACATACGTGTAGCAAGGGTTTAACCCCTTGCTACAACCGATGCAGGAGACTTGCACCAAGGGTCGTCCATAACCCTTGCTACACGTAGCAGGGGCGACTTTGCCAAGGGTCCGTCCAAGGGTTGGTTAAACCCTTGCTACAAAGGAAAATAACCCTTACCATAGACCTTTTTTTTGTAGTGATATATAGAGAGATTCATAGCAAGCATTTGTTGTTGCATCTCAAGTTGAAATAGAAACCAGGGTTTATATATAGCACATAAATATTTATTTTCCATTCGACTCGTAGTAGTAGTCGAATACCTTATTTGTATCTACTATAAAGTAGAAACCCCCACACTCCATGAAAACCAAAACTCTTCTATGTTTGTTATTCTTTGTCACAATTCATAGTATTCATCATCAACAACTCTCAAATTGATACTCCACCGAAGAACTCTCTGGAACACCTTTACGGCCATCGATGTCGAGTTTGTTGAAGGTGTCCACGTCCAACTCGAGCCCCTCGTTGTCACCTTCGCGAACAACACGTACCTTCACTTCATGATGAACTCCTCCGACACCAAGATTCGTTACCTAAGGCTCCCATAAATCGCAAGTTAAACCACCCTATGATTTGATTATTAGCAGGAAAAAAGTGGAAATTGTGAATGATGAATGTTATTAATTACCTTCAAACATCGGCCGCAATAGGTAGTAGCATTTCCATTTCGAGTTGCGAAAGCAGCCCAAGGATACTTGTGAAGGGCAGACAAGGGCAGGCTCGAGAGGGAAGTTGCACAGGACGACGACGAAGAAGAAGAGGCAATAATGGCCGCCGCGGCTATGATAACTTGATGACGATGATGATAGTCAGTGGCGGAGCCAGAGGAGTTAGGCTCTGTCACGAGAGACATACAAATTTTAATAAAACGACGATAAAAACAAATTCTTATATATGCATATGAAAAAGGATTAAACTCACCAATTTAAGGTGAATATATTTTCACCAATGTACTAAACCTCACTTATTGTTAATCGATTATTACGAATTAATTTATTAAACTATAACTGATATACTAAATCGGCGTAGTTTATATTCTCGAAAAAAAAAGGTACACACCTGATTTCAATTTCTGGCTCCGCGACTGATGATGGTGGTGGTCGTCGATAGCGGTAACCACTACGGCCGTTCCTCCCGTCCCAGCTCCTCCGGAAGCAGGAGGCGGCGGCGTCGGCGGTGAAGGACAATAGTTGGTACAATGCATCCAGTCACAATACGAGTCGCCGTCGCCGCAGTAACCCCACAGACCACAGCAGCGTCCATTCGCCCGGTCGCACGCACCCCAAGTCCCGTCGGTGAGTTTGCCACACCAGTGGTCCGACCGCTCCGGCGGAAAGGCCGACGACGATTGAGTAATCAGCTGGCCTGCCACTGCGACCAACAACAACAGTAGTACTAACAAACTCTCCATTTAATTGTCTATTATTATTATTTCTTTTTTACGTGTCTGTGATTTGTATGAAATGGGAAGCAGCTTTCTAGACCGCATTTATATACGTAGAGTAACATCGATGGACCTGTTGGTGTTGTTTATTATTCTCCAGCTATTTGAGTTGGTAAGGTATCTGTGCCATTGGTGGTGACGGGATCCCTTTGTTTTCTTCGTCGTGTTCTTACTTACGGCTCTTATTCTTGTTAGAGAGTTGTATAAGATCCAGCATAATTTTCTTCCAACAATTTGAGTTATTGAGATCAACGGGTTCTTGACAATTATGTAGTTATGGGTGTGGGATAATCCCAAATTTAATTAGGGTGGATAGTATTAATAGTTAGAAGCATCCACCGAACTCGACCGTCGCGGCAGCCGGCCGACCAGACCATATACCTAAACTTTTGGTAACTCCCGAATCCCCGTCCAATATATTCCTTAGTGGAAGAGAAAAAGAAGAAGGAAAAGAACAGAAGAAAAAAAAAGTCTCCATTTGCCCATAGAAAAGCAATGACGTCAACAATATATATACTTAGAAGTTTGCAGAAGTTGATTTGTTTAACTCAAGGAAAACATCTCTGGTGTAAAATACATCACGCGCTAATTATGTTTGAATTGGTGTAGACATACCATTTAAGTTTACTGCTAAATGCATTCCGTTAAAGTTGACAGAATATTCTTGGAATATTTCGTTTTCTTAATTTCATAATTGGTCCTTTTACTTTTCTTATTGTAAAAAAAAATATATATTTGGACTTATGAAAAACATCATTTTTTATTGTTTAGTTAGAATCCTCTTTTGAATACTTGATATCAAACCAATTTTTGAATAGAAAATTTATAATCAATTATCATTATAATTATTTTCAATTCTCATTATGTGTTCTAATAATTGAATTATTTCATGAATGTTGTAACTAAACAATGTTGTACTTTTTATAGTCATATTTTCTTTTCTACTTTTGTAACCGAATGTAGTAGATTTTATATTTTATTTATTATTTGGTTACTTTCCATCTCTTTTCGTTCTAAATTTTCTCAATTAGTGGAATATGTTTAATTTTTTCTGATTGTGATCCATTTATCCTTCTTTGATGTATTAATGATCGATTAGGTTCTATTTTAACTATTTCTAATGGTGCTTCTAATTGAATTAGGGGTTTAAATAGATATTATAATATTTATTTTAAATATTTATTATTATATTCTAGTATATTTATTTTCTTCTTGATATTTGTTTACTAATATAAATATTTTATTGACAAATTTTGAATAGTCATTCTAGTAATAATATGTTTAGAAGGTTTTCTAATTATTATATTAGATAAAACTTGTTGAAATATAGTTTTAGATGTTTTTAAAATTTTTGGGTATCAAAAAGTAATTAAAAGTTTGAGTTTGATGGAAAAGTAGACGGATGCACATTTTGGTGACATTAATGGTACCCGACGCCCTATTCTAACTAAAGTGGTATGTCTACCCCAATTCTCAAACGTTAGTGGCACGCGAGGTATTTTACCCTCATGTTAGGTGACAAAACACATAAGGTCAGCTTATTTACATCATTTTGTGCTTATTTATGCTTATTTTATGTTTATTAACATAATACTATGGTGATTTACGTAAAAGTGTAAGTTTTTCACGTAAATGAAAATTCAGACTTTTTCCCCCTAATAATTTGTATTGGCTATATGTTATGGAATTAAATTTAGATTATCAATTGAACTGTAAAAAATATATTGCATTGATGACAACCATTGTGATATTTTTCAATGTTTAAAATTTTATTTTACAACGGCGTGAATAATTAACCATATGCGTGAATGAACATCAGGTTGCGTGACCTAACAATATTGGTTGCGTGAATAATCAAAACTCTTATGTGAATAATGCAAATATGACGTGAATGAAACAAATATGACGTGAATACAGCAAATATGGTGTGAATACCCAAAATCAGGTGTTTTGTCACCTAACGTGACAAGAGACTTTACCCTTAACTCAATTATTAATATCGGTGATGATGACATTTGCATAAAAGATTATTTTGCCGTAACAAATTCTGATATTATGTTAAGGATAAGTTGATCTCACTAATTTGAGTTATTAGACTTCTCTTAATAATTCGAGTTATTATAATAATTCATATTATATCATATCGTATATCATTTGCGCCCATATATCACGCCACATGAGCCATTATATGGTTGGAGTTAATAATAGTGTAAGAAGACGTGTATCTAGCTACCCAATAGTGGAATGACAACATATCATAGTGGAGTGAGAAAGTTTGTTGCTCCATTTCAAATTTATTGTAACAAAAGTGAAAATAAGAAGGGTGTTTTTGTATTCACTATTTTTAATTTTTATAAAAAAGAGATATTAATATTTAAATTTTAACCAGTGTCTCTTCAAATAAAGAAAAGAATCATAATCAATTACATTAAATAGATTGGTATAATTCTAATAAAAAATATACATGGAGTGAAAATATAAAAATTAGAGCACTTTTTCTGAAGTCCACCACCCCCAGCGCTAGTTGGGACAAGTATTTATTTGGTGTTTTAATAATTTGATTTTTCAAATTTTGATTATTTTTAATTGGATTTTAATAATTAATTTAAATTTTTAAATATTTTATAAATGGATTATAATATTAAATTGCAGTCTAAATATTATTGATTTAAATATCAAATATTGAATTGCAGTAATGAATATGTTGGATCGGAGCAATGTCAAATTCTTAAATTAGTACTAACTTTCATACCTACTATATGCTGTGCAAACCATATATGACTTGTTCTATTAATGTTTAAGCACGGCAAACCACTAAGCATTAGAACTCTTGCTAATTCGGAATGATTAGATCCAACAATCATATCACGGGATGAGATTGAGTCTCATACGCTAGTTCATTTCATAATTTTTTTTTAATGTGTTAATGAACTTGCAGGATGTACACGAGTGAAGATGAATTTGATCATCATGCATTTTGATTATCTCTCCATCATTAATTAACACACTGCATGAAAATTAACCAACACTCTCTATTTGCTCCCCTTTTGCATAACTTATAATCTTGGTCATCAACATCTCTCAAACCGATACTTCAACAAAATACGACGATACGACAACCTCCAGTACTTTCATGATGATCTGTGTCGAGTTTGTTGTAGGTGCCCACATCCAACTCGAGCCCCTGTCACCGCCACGTTCGTGAACAACACGAAACCTTTACTTCATGATGAACTCCTCCCTTCAAACAGCGCGGCCGCAATAGGTAGTACTAGTAGTACTGCGGCCACCCGTACAGCAGCCCAAGGATATTTGTGAAGGGAAGACAAGGGCAGGCTCGAGAGGGAAGTTGCACACGACAATGGCGACGACGAGGAAGAAGAAGAGGCATTAAAGTAGTGGTTTTCTGTGGCGGCAGCCGCCACCACAATTTTTTCCCCCGTTGCAGGTCCTACGTCAGAAGGTGGTGGTGGTGGACACTGGTTGGCACAATGTTTGGGGCTACAATTTGCGTAGCCGTCGCCGCAGTAACGCGACTTACTGCAGCAGCGTCCTGGGTCGCATTGCTCCCAAGACCCGTCAGTTTGTCGGCGGCACCGGTGGTCCGGCCGCTCCACGCTCTCCGCCGATGACGACGAGGATTGAGCAATCAGCTGGCCAGCTGCCAGCGCCACTGCTACCAACAGTAGTGGTGCTAACAAACTCTCCATTATTGTTTGTACCTATTTCTTTTGTTACGGGTCTTGTTTACTTTTGGAGGTAATTGAGTTGGTAAGGTATCCGTGGCATTGGCGGTGACGGGATTCCCTAATTAATTTAATTAGGGTTAGAAGCATCCACCGAACTCGACCGTACGTACTAGCCGGACGGGGCGGAGCATACGTAAGCTTTTGGCATCCGGGGCTTGCTATTTGCCGCCAAACAAATTGCTATTTGCCGCCAACTAAAAAAAAAAAAAGTATATATGTACATCTTTGGTTAAGAAATTTCACAATCTACAACATATCCAACTTTCAGAAAACGTATTGAATCAGAAAAAATCGACGCTCGCCGGAAAAGTCGCCGGAAAACCATCGGGAAAGCCCATCCTCGACGTAAACTGCGGATACGCATCCATGAATCATCACTAAGCAGGTGCGTCAACCTCCTGTCGTCCTCAATCGTCGGAAAACAAGTAAGTTTACTTTTTCCGGCAAGTTTTTCAATTTTCCGGCAATTTTTCCAGTTTTCCGGCGAAAAACACGGTGGTCCGAAAAAAATTTGCGGCCGGTGCGCCGCCGGGCCGAAAAAATCTTGTGGCCGGTGCGCCGCCGGACCGAAACTTTTTTGCGGCCGGCGCGACGCCCAGCCGAAAAAATTTTTCGGCCCGTCGTCGCCCCGGCCGCAAATTTTTTTCGGCCGGTCGCCGAACGCGCCGCCGTGAATTTTTCCGGCGGCGCGTTCGGCGACCGGCCGAAAAAAATTTGCGGCCGGAACGCCGCCGGGCCGAAAGAATTTTTCGGCTGGGCGTCGCGCCGGCCGAAAAATTCTTTCGGCCCGGCGGCGTTCCGGCCGCAAATTTTTTTTGGCCCACCGTGTTTTTTCGCCGGAAAACTGGAAAAATTGCCGGAAAATTGAAAAACTTGCCGGAAAAAGTAAACTTACTTGTTTTCCGACGATTGAGGACGACGGGAGGTTGACGCACCTGCTTAGTGATGATTCATGGATGCGTGTCCGCAGTTTACGTCGAGGATGGGCTTTCCCGATGGTTTTCCGGCGACTTTTCCGGCGAGCGTCGATTTTTTATGATTCAATACGTTTTCTGAAAGTTGGATATGTTGTAGATTGTGAAATTTCTTAACCAAAGATGTATATATATACTTTTTTTTTTTTTTTGTTGGCGGCAAATAGCAATTTGGTTGGCGGCAAATAGCCGTTCATCTCCCAAATCCCCATCCAAAGATATCCCCTTGGTGGAAAAAATACAAGCCTCCACTTGTCCATATACAAGATATTTGATTATTGGGAAATTATTTCAAAATGAAATATCATATAATTCTCTTGTAAACCATCTCAAACCAATTAAATCAAACTCATGAGTTGGAAATTTTTACAAACTCATATATATCATATTAAGAATAAATTGATCTTATTCGTTCGAGCGGTTGGAAGTAAACATTCCCTTTACAATTCTAAGCTATAATAATCAGTTTCTCCTGCACTTATAAATTCTTAAATAATTTGCAAGCTCGTTTGGACCAATCAAATTGAGTGCTACTAAGGAAGTTAGCTAGGTTTCGTGATTCCACTAAGATTCGGAATCTAGCTAGGTTCATGACTTGTTATTAGAGTTTTAATCGGGAGTCCAGTCATGTGTCCATCAATATTAACAATTAATTTACTTGCATAGTATTGTTATATAATGGATTTGTACAAACTTTAAACACATAAATTGATTTTTATTTGATGGAGCATATTAAAAAAATTATATAAGCTACTATTTTAGAGGTTTCTCAACAACTTAAATCAATGATACTAACTGATTCGGACAAAACCTTGTTGCACACCATTAACGCTTCCATTCAAGCTTTTCGTAATGATACTAAATGTCGAGTGTGGACTACAAAAACCACTCAACTTACATAAAGGTTGTTTGCTTGATGGATTTGGTGATGGATTTGGATCTATCATGGACTTTGTTTGAAATCCATTATTAGGGGCAACAAATCTGTGGGTCCCACAACTTTAAGGGTCCAAATCCGTAGACCCCACGAATTTGAAAGTTCCACCTCTTTAGAGGTGGAAATTGATCATGGACTTTGAAGTCCATCTTTTAAGACCAAACTACCAGTCCCATTTCATTTCTCTTCTTATACCAATGAGGGCAATAAAGGTAAATTTCATTTCATACATACAAATCTAATTAACCAATTCCATCATGAAATATATGAAACAAACAATGGTATTTTTAAAGTCCATAATGAACCCAAAACCCTCATATATCCATGGTTTTATAAAATCCAAGTTTTACTAAAATCTTCATTTTTCAAATCAACGAAACAAACGACTCGATAATGAGCTAGGTTAAGGGCATTGGATTCATAATTCTTTCTTAATAAATTATTCAATTCAAGCTCCATATTAGTGTAACATATTGATCGAGATGAGCGCTATGGAGACCAGTGGTTCCATGGTCAACCTAATCAGCTTAATGAGTTTTCTAGCCTGTTTAAGAAAATTTGTGGTCTAATCAGCTTAATGAGTTTTCTAGCCTGTTTAAGAAAATTTGTGGTTTACTTTACAAGGTTTCTGGTATGTTTTAAGAAACTTGTGGTAAGTTTTATGAGGTTTGTGGTATGCTTCAATGAAGTTGTGGTCTGGTTTATGAGGCTTATGATATACATTGATAAACTTGTGGTCTGCCTTATGAGATTTATTATATGCTTTAAGAAACTTGTGCTCAGCTTTATAAAGTTTTTGGTCTACTTCAGAGAACTTGTGGTATGATTAATAAGGTTTATGATATGCTGTAAAAAACTCGTGTTGATCAGCTTTATGAAGTTTTTGGTCTGCTTTAAGAAATTTTTGGTCTGCATCATGAATTTTCTGGTATTCTTTAAGAAACTTATGCTCAGGTTTATGAGATTTCTAGTATGTTTTAGGAGGCTTATGGTCATCTTTATTAGGTTTCTGGTATGTTTTAAGAAACTTGTGATCACCTTTCAGTTTTCTGATAGGATTAATAGCATTTTGTACCCCTCTATTATCTCAAATTAACAAACATACGCTTCTAATATCACAAAGTAACAAAAATACCTTATGTTAAAAAATCGGTTTACTTGTCATTAAACGTGATGAGAAATGACCCAATTAGCCCAGGTGTATCATGACTCGTTTCTAATCCTATATTCTCTACTGTTTCCTGGACCTAATCTCACTGTCCATTCTCCGCCTCCAAATCTACCTCTAAATTGAATCAATCACTCTACCTCTCACCTTCTACGCTTCCTTCTCAATCCTCCCACCTCTCTCCATCAATTATTTCATTGTGTCGCTTTTCCAATTGGGCAGTACTAAAGGCATCACGCTTGCTGGAAGATTGCATGCATCAAATCAATTAGTTCCAGCAGAGACTTCGGAAGCCATTGAATTAAGATTTGATTTGGATTTAGATTGAAATTAAGCAATCTTAGAAGGATGAGTTAGAACAGTAAGGATGTAAAGGTGAAGTTTGGTAGGCGAAGAAAGGATAGAAGGAAAAGGAGTACTGAACTGGGAAAAAAATATTAGGGACAAGAGAACGGTAAATGAGACATTTTCACTCTCACGCAACAATTAATTAACAAAAAAACTTAACAGAATAATAGTTTTGTATGTTACATTTTCATAATTGAACGGCACGAAAGTAAAAATAATAATAATTTAAGGGTATGTTTGTTAACTTGTAATAGTAAATAGGTATAAAATGTAATTAACCCTTTGTGGTATGCTTTATAATTTAGTGGCGTGATGAGTTTCTAGTATGCAGTTTTGTTCGCTTGAAATCGCTAGTCGTTGCCGTACTTGTCGTCCTCGCCAATCCTTGTCGCCGCCGTCAGCGACCCCCAACCTTCCTCCTCCGACCAATACGACCTTCAACCTAAATCCTCTGTGTTAGAGTTTACGAAACAGAAAATCGACACAGTATTTACGTGGTTTCCTTGATCGGTGTGATCAAGACTAGTCCACGGCCGAAGCGTATAAAGTTCTTATTCAAGTACGGCAATCTCCGAGATACAAGTATTTATACATATTCCATACACCTCAACCCTAAGGGTTTCGGCCGATCCTACCAGTCCTATGCATGGGCCTCATGAAGCTACACGTACATGGGCTCAAGCCCTAAATTACAAGTACGTAACTTAACACCCTCCCCCAAATTGATGGGGGGTACGCATCATCAATTTGCCAGACAGATAAGAATGTCGTGCAGCAGTAAAGGCCTTCGTGAACAAGTCTGCGAGCTGATCTTCCGATGATATATAGAAAATCTGAATCGTACCAGCACGGACTAGATCCCGAATATAATGGACATGCACCTCAATGTGTTTGGTGCGATCATGCATCACCGGATTAGTAGCTATCCGGATGGCACTGGTATTATCAACATATAGCTCCAATGGAACGACACATTTGACTCCAAAATCACCAAGAAGACGTTGCAACCACTCGAGTTCAGATGTCACATCTGACATAGCTCTATATTCAGCCTCTGTGGAGGACTTCGATACCCGATCTTGCTTCTTACACCGCCAGGAGATAACAGAACTACCAAGTCGAATGCACCAGCCGGTGGTGGAGCGTCGTGTGTTTACGCATCCAGCATAATCGGAGTCAGAAAAAGCCTGTAGAACCAACGATCCTGATGATGGCAAGAACAATCCAACCTCTCTAGTGCCCCGGAGGTATCTCAAAATCCTGTGAACTGCATCCATATGAGAACTACGAGGAGCAGACATGAACTGACTTACAATTTGCACAGCATAAGCGATGTCCGGCCTTGTAGGCGCCAAATAAATCAAACTGCCAACGATGCTCCTGTAGTGGCGGCCCCCATCAGGAAGTAAAGTCCCAGAGTCCCTCCCCAGCTTCAAATTTAATTCCATAGGAGTAGCAACAGGAATACAGGTATCAAATCTGGATGACTCCAACAAGTCATCAATGTACTTCGTTTGGCGAAGAAGAATCCCTT